GGTAAAAAGTCAAAAAGAAAAAAATTGTATAGGTCCTCTGGACGGGTTCTTCTCTAATGAAACGTTTTGTCTCTCCTCCGAGACTTCTTCATTAATAGGTGTTAATTAGGTGTCAACGATAGCCATGTGATGTGAGTATCAGTCACATGGAGGCAGGGCTTAAAAGCCTGAATTTTGCCTGAAACTCTCAGACTGAAGAAATCTCTTGGAGGAGAGACGAAAYGTTTCATTAGAGAAGAACCCGTCCAGAAGACCTATACAATTTTTTTCTTTTTGATTTTTTACCTGGATTACTGAGATGCATCAGGACATCAAAGGGGAGGTGTTATGCAAAATCAACTCTTTTGAGCCAATAATGTCACTGCCTCATCAAAAACATGCCCAGAGTGTTGCTTTGACTCGTTMATGTTTGAGAAATCCTTGAATCTCCTGTGGTAGTCATGTGGAGCTGACTAAGCGCTTACTGGTACAAAGCTCTGCCTATTTACACAAAGCTCCTCCATGGGGCTCAGGCTGCAGCTGAGCACCCCTCCCCATAAAGCATTGCGGTGAAGACGTGCTGAAGTGGGAGTGTGCGAAACAGTAGGAGGTTCTTAAAGAGACAGAGGCCAATTTCAAGGTGTTTAGATTTAAATTTATTTTTGATACATACAACATTTTTATAACAACTGAAGGTGACATGATTGTGGTATAGTATTTCACCATGTGCCTGGGAAATGCATTATAATCCCCTTTAAGAGAAATATTTTTGCACTTTTAAGGCAAACTTTACTGAGGTGTTTGAGACCACTGCAGTTCTCGAGTTTGTTTTTATTGAAAAATAAAAACAGTTTCCTGTCTTGGGATTTTTATTTATATCTAAATGTAGGAAAAAAAGAATTTGTTCTAAACAATTTGATGTGACTTTTTAGTATTTTGAAAAAGACGTTTTACACAAACAGCAATCCTCATTCTATAAACCATCTCTGTTCATGTATTTGTTTTTATGCATGTTAGGATTATTAAGGGTCAGAATTCATTGATATGTCACCATTTTATTGTTTGATTGCACTGAATGCAGGACTTCTCTGCAGTTTTGCAGCCTTACTTGAAATTTGAATACTTTTTGTAGTGTTTGCTGCTCTGTGAAACACTAACAAGCAGGAACAGACTTTATTTGACATGATAAATGTATGTTTTTGTATTTGTTGCCGAAATGTTAACATTGTTTTTTATATATAAAATGTGAAAACTAATGTATTCTATTTGTGCTAAATAAAATATTTTTATAAACTTGACATTTTTTTGGTTTCAAAAACAATTTTCTTAATGATTTAAATTTGTTAGGTTTTATATACGAAATGCAAGCACCCTAAACCTTGTGATTTATGAAACTCATGTACATATTTATAGTCCTGACAAGAATGACTGAGGGTTTTTATTATTTATTTATTTATTTATTTATTTATTTATTTATTTATTTATTTATTTATTTATTTATTTATTACTGACATGGAGTCACAGATTCTGATTCAAAGTCCATCCAGGATCACAAAACAAAAGAAAAAACAATACTTCCTTATTTTGCTCAATTTTGAGTATTTCTGTTACTATGTACAGTATAAAGACCTGACAAAAGTAGAAGTGAAGAATTGCACAACACTCTTCTCTTAGTGAGTGAGTTGTGACACTTAATATTACTGCTTAAAGTTTACCGTTTTTGCTCATCACCATATTAAAACATGGAAATAATAATACAAACGGTTTTACCAAATCTGATATTATTTTTAAAAAATCAAGATTGCAAAATTGCATTCACGTCTTTGTATTTTTTCTTAATAATTGAGATGAAAATAGGTAATTAGGATTCTTTCTAATTAATTTAACTTAGATCGTCTGAGGACCCTTACTGGATGTTTCTTGACCAACACTGGGATCCCATTTGAAGTTTGACATTTCAACTATTTTTACAGCAAATCCTTTCAGGCGTTAATGAGGAAAGTGTTGAAAGTGTTGTTTAGAAACAGATGGAGACAGATGCAACAAGAGTTAAGAGATGTGTGGTTGTGAAGCTGATGCTCTTTATTTTTAATACCAGGCTTAAAACTTTTCATTTTAATAAATTCATATTTAGTGTTGGTTTTCTGGGTTATTCCTCTGCTGTTATAGACTTAGACTGCTGGAGGACAAACTGACCGTGTTTCCTCATTCTGCTTCTGTCTTTACTCACTCTAATGATTTCACTCATGAGTGTGTGTGGGTTTTTTTTCTTCCCACAGAAAATGTTGTTTTTGTTTCCTGCCCTCTTAAACCCAGTTGGTGGAGGCAGATGACTCATCCTGAGCCTGATTCTAGGTTTGCTGGAGGTTTCTTCCTGTTAAACGAGAGTCTTTCCTTTCCACTGTCACCAACATGTTGTTCAGGATGTAAAATTGTTTGTTGGTTTCATTGTGTGAATGTTTAATGAGTGTTCACTCTACTGCTGCTGGAAGCATTCAGACTGTTGAGATTTTTTCTTCCATCCGTTTTTTAGCATCTATCTGCTTCCACAATGTTAGTGATATTTCCACAATTCATACATCAAAACATTGAACTCATTTATGCCATGGGTGCTATAACGTTTGGTATTTCAGCAACTTTTTAGCTTCCCTGCCATCGTTTTCTTATTAATATTGAATGAAGTTTATTCAACTTATAACCTTTTATTCTGCATTTTTTTCAACTTCTTTGAGCAWATTTCCATCTTAAAGCTGAGTTTATTTTGGGGGGGCTAATTTAAGCATTTTTTCTGTGCTAGTCTTTTGTTACTTTAAACTTTTAGGCTTTTGCCATCCTCTGACTGCTTTTCATACTTCGTTTAGCTTATATCTGCTAATTTCAGCTGTTTTTGCCTTATACTTGGTAGCTATTTTCTGATCATTTTAGTTTTTGTCCATTTTTTCTTACTCTTTCTGCATCTTTGTGCCAATTTCACCCTTTTCAGCTGATTTTAGCTGTTTTTCGCTCACTTTGGCAACTTTAGATGTTTTACAACAATTGCAATGTTTTGTACTTTGTACTTGTACTACTTTTTTGTATGTTTCTTTTATTTTCTGGCAAAAATTTTTTTTTACTCTTTGTTCACCATCTGTTTGCTACTTTCAACATTTTTCTACCGTCCACTTTTATTTATAACTTTTAGAAAAAGTGAAATTTAACTCACATTATCAGTTTTGCTAWTAAACATTTTCCGATTTTTCAGCAGGTTTCAGGAAAAATCTTTCATTAAGCATCCACRCTGGAGTTTGGAGGAAATGCTAATTCTGTAGTTACATGGAAAACTTTTACAGACTAACTGGTTTTATGATATATGTGAATGTTTTTGTACAGTGCTTGAGATGACTTTAGTTGGGAATTATTTTATAGTGACTGTACAAACTGTAAAACCAGCATTTTATATTTCACATCAACACAATTGCATGTTTCACCTGAAACACATCAAATATTTATGATTCAGATTTCCTTGTAATACCATTTCAACAATTCCAAATGACACCTAAATGTTTTTATACAGTAGATTTTTAAAGTTGTTTTCCTTACATGACCTTGTTGTGAGTTCTTAAACAGCTGCCTAATTTTAAATGTGATTAGTTTTGATTAATTTAGTCCATTTGTCTGCTTTTCAGCAGTTGACAGGAAGGGATGCTTTTTAGCTTTACTGGATGGTTTGTTAAGAACCGGAAATAAGATTTACTCCAGTTTTTCTTCTTTTTCCCACTAAAACCAAACAATGATTCACTGCCTGATCTCAAACAGGATGGCTTCTGTTAGTAAATCACAGATTAACGAAACTGAGGAGATGGATTCAAATGACCTTAAATGTTACGTGACCCACAGGAAGTTCTGTACTTTGTTTTCACAGGCACTAGATTGTACCGGGGTGGTGTTTACTGTGATGGTATCAGACCTAAAAGGCTTTGACTCACAGCAGGCAGCGGGATACATTCAGCAATATGTGTAACACAGATGTTTGGATGAGTAGAAAGTGAAAATGTAAACATCTGTTTCATGCACAAATGAGATACAACAAAGACTCCAACTGTAAGAAAAGCTTACAGTTTGAGCAGCATGAGATGGTAGAAAAAAAAACCCTGTAAAGAGTAGCAGAATCATAATTCCTCCCTGAGTCTTCAGTCTGAAATTGCTCTGACTGCTACTGATTACTCTCCACTCCCCTCCTGAAAAAAATATATTACTCGAAGATAAGGCCAAGAGGAAAATAGTTGTAGTGGGATGACTAATAGATGTTTGGTGATCTGAATGGAAAAAGCAGAAAAYATAATCAAACTCTCTGAATGTACAGCTGCACTTATACAAGCTGGGTGGAACTGCAGGTTTTTAATCAGCTTCAAAATGACATATATGACTTTAAAAAGAGCTATCGGTGAGATTAAATGATGTTTTACTTAACAACAGGGTGGAGCGTGTGTTTACAGCTTTATAAAAAAACACAGCTAAAGCAGCGCATTTTTTAGTGAAACTCTATCATTTTGAATCTGTTGTGGCGTCAAGACGATGAGCGACTTCACAATTTTTTTTCAAATATTTTATTATAATAATAATATTATAACACTGCATCAGA